GAATTCTGCCAGAGACAAAAGCGGAGGACTGACTCAGACATGACAGCTGTCCGTGAAATCTAAAAACAGCTGCAAGAACACATTAGAGCAGAAGCCCGGCCTTCAAAACGCAGGGGTGCCAACGCACACACAAAAACGCTCACGCGCGGAGCCCATCGATCTAATCTAACGCAATTGCATTTAATATTTCATCTCCCTTTCAACGTTACAGTAGGCCCAGCGTATTCTCTTTGAACCGACTTCAGCTGAGTCAGAAGGAAAAATATATATATAATAAAATCACAACCTAAAAAAAGGAGCAACATATATTAGAATCCTGCCTCTTTTCAGCTCATAAAACACTTAGAAAAGGGATAATCTAGCAGTGAAAGTGCTTTGTGTATTTATGACAGCAATTAATCTGCAGTTTATTTCTCTGCTCACAGTCTATTTGCAATAGTAGATCTATTGGCTATTGTGTGGAAGAAAGTCATTGTTCACAATGCTGTTACAGTAATCCTGTGTTAAACATGGATACAAACCCTGGCTTTGAAGGAGGTCTATCTTGCACAGTGCTTGCAGTGTTATCTACAGTAAAATAATATACACTCAGACAGACACTAATCATCCCTCTCTCGCTCTTTCTCTCCGACACAGACATCAAACAAACCCTCACAGAATAACTGTAGAAAAAAATAGGGAGGATATACACAGAAGCTCTTCCTGCCTTCTCCTGATGCACGTGTACATGTGTTCGACTTTCATAATCTCAAACATGCTGGAAAAGCAAACAGGGCAGGGGGTTTGTCTGAGTGTGTTCCCTGTGGACCAGTGACTCTGTGTGTGTACTTGTGTTGGATGTTGTTAAGTCCTCTGAGAATGACTCACTTGCATTATTCTTGCCTCACTGACTTCACATGAGCAACTACAGCCTCAAATTGTCCTCCTTCCAAGAAGCACAAACTCCCACAACTTCAAACTCTACAATCCACAGCCTCAAACCCTGCAATTCAACAACCTCAACTTCTGCTAACCAACAACGTCAAATTGTGGGACCCACCACCTCAAACTCTACCACTCACAAGACTTAAATTCTATCACAAAACAATCTCAAACTGTATTATGCAATGAGCTTTAACTATACTATGCAACAACCTCAAGCTCTAGTATGCAACAACCTCAAATTCTGCCACCAAGCAACCTCAAACTTTGCCCCCATACAACTTCATTTCTACCACCTAACAACCTCAAACTGTACTATACAACAACCTCAAACTCTGCAGCCCAGCAACTTCCAACTCTGCTGCCCAGCAACTTCCAACTCTGCTGCCCAGCAACTTCAAACTCTGCTGTCCAGCAACTTCAAACTCTGCCACCCATCAGCTTCAAACTTTGCCACCATACAGCCTCATCTTTACCACCCAACAACCTCAAACTGTACTATACAACAACCTCAAACTCTGCTGCCCAGCAACTTTCAACTCTGCTGTCCAGCAACTTCCAAGTCTGCCACCCAGCAACTTCAAACTTTGCCACCATACAGCCTCATCTTTACCACCCAACAACCTCAAACTATACTATACAACCTCAAACTCTGCCACCCAGCAACTTCAAACTCAGCCACCATACAGCCTCTTCTCTACCACCCAACAACCTTGAACTATACCATACAACAACCTCAAGCTCTGCCACCCAGCAACTTCAAACTTTGCCACCATACAGCCTCTTCTCTACCACCCAACAGTCTCAATCTGTACCACACAGCAACACGTTAGTACTGAATTGGCCTTTAAAACACAGGAGTGCCAAAACACCAAGACATGGACTCTCTAGAACCTCAAATTCTACCACCCAAAAACCTCAAATGCTGCCTTGACAACTTCAGACTCTGCATCAAAGACCATCACCACCTCAATCTTTGTCCCACCTCTAAAACATTGTCCTTACCTCAAACCCCTTAACCCCACCACAGAACCTCAACTTTGATCCCTCAACAACCTTAAAACTCCAGGTCCAACATTCTCATTCTCTTGCCAACATCAACTAGCACATTCTTCTAAACTCCACTACCACTTCAGCCTCAAACTCGGACCTCATTTCATCACTCACAGTAAGTTTCTTGCTGTACAGCTCATTTGCTTGGCCCCTGCATAAGGCACATTAAAACCACTGTTCCCATGAGAGCGTGCGATTTCTCCCTCGGCTGCAGATCATTCCGTATTCTTTCATTTACTCCCGGAGGGAACGCTTCGTCTCACCTGCGGTTCACAGCTCGGACAGCTGTGGCCTCAGATCTGCAGCTAATGAAGGATCATCTGCATTCTGTGCGCCAGCACAGCTCGGCTGGCTAAAGGCCTCATAAAATAGTAATCTGCAACAATTACCCTGAAAATCTGAGGTGGGAAAAAGCGCTCGCTTCCAATTAGCCTGGCCACTGATGCCCAGAGAATAGCCTGTGTAAGATATGGAATGAGGTGTATTGTATGTTGAATGAGATGTGTTGTATCCGGCAGCTGAGCTGGGTGTATGGTAGAGAGCTGGAGAGAGTTCTGCTCCTTGTAGATGTGGTGAGACTCCTAAGAGGCTCAGAGGAATCTGACCACATTATTCCAGCTCTGTGCTCAATTCACCAGCTCCCAGTTAGTTTGCTTTCATTACAAAATGCCATTGCTTTATGTAGCCATGCTCTAAAAACTTCTTTGATAGGCAGGAATGGTGGATCACCCTATGCAGGGAATTCACAGCTGTTCTACTGAATGGCCTGAAAACTATTCGTCAAGCTTACTGACACTTCTGATGTAGTTTTTCTTTAGCACCCCAACCCACCCTCTAAATACACTTAAAAAATACAAAATTTAGCAGGAGCTAGGTAAATTTTTGATCAGAAATGACCCAAATTCATAAAGATATCAAATTTCTGTTAGCATTTACATGTCAAACAATGGCATATCTGCACAGCACAGGGTCTCCTGAAAATAACAACATATGGCATGTGTGACAGTCACATGTAAATACTTAATAATTTCAATTGTAATTGTAATTGACCCAAAAAAATACCAAAACATTCCCAGAAATTTTAGGTTTCTAGGGGTTAATATGTTGCGCCACCAGTTAAGCATTCACCACTCTTAAAATGCCTCCATATGGATGGCTAAATGATCAGTATGTTGTTCCCTGAAAAAAAGGACTCCAACCATTTAATGGTGATAGGACAGTTGTATTACCCTGATTGCATATGGCACTGCTTAGACTTGACCTGAGCTGCAGGGTAATACTATAGGATACCTTGTTTGATCCTACTTTTCGCCTATTTTAACTCAAATGTTGCTTGAGGAGTACAGTTTCTGCAGCTGTTTAATGTTAATATGTTGCTTTAAGCAAAGGCATTGGGTAAATGTTTTGGTCCAACTTTACATGGTGTCTGTAGCTGCACTGTTAGAAATAAAGGTTCTGTTCAGGTACATTTTTCGTTCATCAAGGTACAAACAATGTAAATCTTCCCTCAAAGGTACAACAGTGGTTTTAAGGTCCAATTGTGCACCTTAAATAAGTTCTCCCAGGTAAAAAGTATGTAGTTGTACCTTTTCCTAAACTACTGTTTTAAAACAGAACATAGAAAATAACTTAAAGACCTTAAAAAATTGAATTTCAAATGATTATGGTAGAATTATGTTCCCTGACTAAAGGTATTGAGCACCCCAGTGACAAGAGGGGTACTGCCCCAGTGACAGTTTAGTAAGTTTTTTCTGAGTGTGTGTCATTACACATTAACAACACATGTAACAATAATGTAACTACTGGTGAAGCATTCACTGTGACAGATGGATTACAGAAATTTTAAACATTTATCTTTACATATGTACTGTAAAATTACAGATTGATATTTATCCACATGATTTGATCAGGTTAATATGTTACAACAGAAATACGGGCATTTCCTGGGCAGGTACAGTGTAAGTACTCTTATAATGTAGGTAATTACACACCTCCAGTTACAATCAGAAAAGGCTTGAGTAAAAAAGCAGTAGTTTATGCAAATGCAATTATATGTGTGATTACATAAGAGAAAATACACAGTTGCAACAATCAAGATTGACTTGTTTAATTACTTGAGTTGATATATATGTGTATTTACAGAAGCTGTACTACTGTAATCAACAGTGAATGCATCACCATTAGTAACACTGTTGTTGCGTTTATTGATAATGTGTAACTGCATCGTTATTAGGGCCACAGTGTAAAGTGGGACCAAGTCTTTTATTGGTGCAATTTGTGAGCCCTTTCTGTATGTTTAAACACCCTTTTGTGTTTTTTTTAGCATGCTGGAAAAGACTTCCTACCCTTGTCGTGCATTCCTCACTATTTTTTCCTTTTAGACATGAAATGTGTGTTGTGACCAGGCTCAAAGAATAAACGTGATTTGATTTACGGCACAGAACCCATACACCCACTGCTGAAGGCTTTGAGTGTATATTTTGATCTCTCCTGTACTGTGTGTGTGTGTGTGTGTGTGTGTGTGTGTGTGTGTGTGTGTGTGTGTAAGGCACGATGCAGCCTGATATCTTTTCCTCCACTCTGATGGCACTGTTTTTCCTCTCTGTCTAATCAGTGAAATCTCTCTCTGCAGAGAACGTTTTCTTCTAGCACACCATCTCACCCAGCCACACTTTACTCTGCTGCTAATGAAAGATCATCTCATTTGCTCTCTCAGCGTAGACCTCTTAGACATATCTGACCTCATGCAGGCCCTTCAAGTGCCCCCAAACATACAGCTGGCGAAAGCATGACTTATGATTATGAATAAAATGTACAAGCAATACAAATATGGTTTCACGGCTAGTTATCGTTTCCCTTCTACCAGCCCTTTATATGGAGGAGGTAATCATATTCTTGTCGCTTATCATCTAGAACATTGCCAAAGGGGGTCCTGGACCAGGATTGGGAACCACTAATCTAGGGCTAAAGCCCTAAATATCTGTCTCACTTCATGATACTTGTCCTGAAAATGTGTGCATTCCTACCTGTGGCCTCCACCATGCCTTCCAGAATCACCACAATCTCCAGCTCCTCCTTAGCCAGGCTGGCTTTGGAGATCTCCCAGAAAGGGCTGTGCTGGTTGATCTCGTGGCAGATGATGAGTGGGGACACCAGGAAGAGGCGGTCGTCGCCCGTGTCGTAACCCACATTCATGTCCGTTTGGTTGAGGGGGATGAACTCCCCCTCCTTGGTCTGTTTGGACTTGATCAATTTGGCTCGAATGGAGGCCTCCACGATGTGCGAGTTCCTCAGGTCCCCCACACGGAACATCAGGCACAGGCGCCCGTCACGCATGGAGATCACTGCATTGGTGGAGAACATCAGCGTCTCTGCTCGTTTCTTGGGCTGCGAGATCTTTACGAACATGCAGCCCACCATGAAGGCATTCACGATGGAGCCCAGCACCGACTGCACCAGCAGGAGCACAATGCCCTCTGGACACTTGTCTGTGATCACTCTGTAGCCATAGCCGATTGTGGTCTCGGTCTCTATGGAAAACAAAAACGCAGAAACGAAGCCCTCCAGGTTGTTGACGCACGGCGTCCACTTCTCGTCCCCTATGTGGTCTAGGTCCCCCCGCGCGTATGCGATCAGCCACCACATGAGGCCGAAGAACAGCCACGTCACCGTGTAAACCAGCACAAAAATGAAGAGGTTGAACCTCCACTTCAGGTCCACCAGAGTGGTGAAGATGTCCGTAAGGTATCGGTAGGTCTCCCGGACGTTGCCGTGGTGCACGTTGCACTTGCCGTCCTTTCGGACGTAGCGCTGGATCTTGCGCTTGGCTCTGTCAGGGTCCTGAAGCTGCTTGGGGATGTCATCTCGGGCCTGCTTGGGCAGCCGGGGCTGTCTGACCGTGATGGGGCTCTCCACATCCTGCTCCATTGGGCCTTCTGGAAGGATCTGAGCCTGGAGGTAAGACACATGAGACGAGATGAGCCCATATTATACTTCTGTTTGAATCACTGGCTTATTTACTCATATTCACAAGGCATCTAATGATACAGCAACAAATACCAGCATAATTTGATGAAAATATGATCCAGTTTTTGGCCCTCCTGTTATGAGGATCTTTGTCTTTTATACCATGTGGCATTTTTCAACCTTCTGAAAAATGTTGCATGAACATTTTTCCATCATTCTCTTTCAAGTAACTTGGTTCACCCAGCTTTATTTTCCCTGCATTGTTTGCCTGCAAAAATCGCAGACGAGCCACAGTTTTTTGCGCTGCTGATCAGAAGAAAGGTTGAACCAGATCAGCAGGTTCCCAGACCAGATCATCAGTCTCTCACACCAAAGTTGTTCCACCGTTGCTGTGGGTTAAATGCAACACCTTTTGCAGGTGTGAGTGTTCTTAACAACTCCTGCCTGAGTTACAATCACAGCAAGCTCTTCGCCAAACCTCAACATAATGATCCTGAGAACTGCTTCTGCTTCTCGGGAAGGAACACACGGAAAAGAAACCGAGAAATCTTTGTCTTGTAATGAAGAGGAACGTAGCAAAAGCTCTGCAGTGCTGCATATAAAAAACATTTTGTTGCAGACCTCAGGGCGCTGTTTGCAGAAAGCAGTGCTTAGCAATGCAGAGACAACCCTACCACTAAAGTTCAGGTTTGAATCCCAGCTGTTCGGGATTCATAAGAAAGCAACTGACAGAATTTTTATTTGGTGACTTTTTCTGAATGTGCCCAGCGTTTCTCTCCTCTTTTCAGCATGACCTCGTTCTGTCGTTCCGTGATTAGCACAGCTGCAATAGAATATTTTTTTTATGACAAATTGGTCAAATAATCTTCAGCTTGTCTGTGAAAGATGACCCATATTCCATCACAATTGAATTCTGTTCAATTTTTTGTATATCACTTTTTACAACAGACATTGTCTCAAGACAGCTTTTGAGAAATCCAGGTCCAAGCTCTTAATGAGGAGGCCTGTGGCAAAAGAGGCAGGAAAAACTCCCTAAGAGCGTGAGGAAGAAACACTGAGAGGAACCAAAATTCAAAAGGGAAACCATCCAGCTCAGGGCGGCGCTGGATGGTGGAGTTATCATATAAAAGTAGGACAAGTTTAGAAGTTACAGTGGCGCTCAGTTCATACAGAAACAAGATCTATGAGATAAGCAAGTGACTAATGTTAGAACGTTGTAAGACAAAGAAAGGTGATGGACAATAAAGGCACTAAATAGAGTTCTTTGCCATAGAAGAACTGGTTTTGGTTCCCCAAAGTCCCTCTCAATGAATGGTTCTTTGGAGAACCATTTTTGTAAATAAGATAGTATTACAAGCCTTTAAACGTTTAAAGAACCTTCATGTAAAGGTTCAAGGGAGAAACTCTCAAATTGGTATAGACCCTTTACATAATGCGAAGGTTCTTTAAGCCGTTAGGTTCTCTCTTTTTCAAACATGGTTCTTTAGGGAACAAAAAGTGGTTCCACTATGGCAGGCAGGTCAAACTGGGGACCTTCCAGGCCAAAGTACTGCAGTGATGACAGTAAACCCTCAACTCTGAATTCAGTTCATGAAGGCCTTACTAATCAGCTGATGAGCTGAATCAGGTGTGTTTAAGGAGGCAGTGTGCTGAAGTCTGCAGTGTTTTGGCCTGCGAGGACTGGAGCCTGACACATGCGCACTAAGGCATCACTCAAAGAACGCATTGTGGCAAATCTTTTAGTAGTTTAGTGCACATTTACCACAAGAGCTCAATACCATATACACATTCTGAAAGCTCTGTTATTGATTTGATAAAGCAAAAAACAAGGTTGATTAACACAGACAACATGTACCAGCTCCTCTTGTGCATATTTAATTAGCCGGAGAGAGCACAATGGGTCGAACTTACAAATATGTCAGGGCGTTCTGAAGTAGAGACACTACTTCATAATAAAAGGTAATTAAGAAACTGTAAATGGCTTTTCCGGTGATGCCGCTGCCCAAGTATTTAACAAAAGAGATGCACAATTAAGGCTCCAGTTAACAGCAAAGTAACTATCTTAATCAATACTTTGGGACCTGGAGAATACCATGCAATTATTCTTTGCCTCATTTAGAACTAATATCTTCTTCATGACTGTAATTGAACCGGAGATGGCGTGATTAGCCGTGACCGTGCGTGACCTGCGTTTTCAAGCTTGCGTCTGGCTCTGCGACTGAGAACCTGAGGAGGGAGCGGAGCCAGAGTCAGAGCTTACATCACTAACACGAGTCCACTCAGACTCTCCCTTCGTCCATCCGACCCCTATCCACCCCTCCTTCTTACTCCATCCCACAGAGCTGTCAGAGCTTATTCTGCTCCTGTAGAAGCAGCAGCATAAAGTGTTGCTCCCTTTCTCTTGCTTGCAGCTACACAGTTGCCCTCAGAGACCAGCACTGGCACGATTAGCAGTGTGACTGTTATTGACACCAAACCCTTTAATTTTTTTTTATTAATACTGAAGTTATTTTACTGTTTTAATTGTTTAAATGTACATTTTTACAAATGAAGTTTTCTAAATAACTCAATGTACAGATCTACAAAAACCCTAATTGGTGAAGAACAGGGGTGTCAAACATACGGCCTGCAGGCAGAGCCCGGCCCAATAATTATTCTTATCTGACCCACCAAATGAATTTAGAATTCATGTTCTAAATTAAAATGATCTTGTAGACCATTTGCAACACAATGCTCGAGACAACACTCAACCAATCACTACTTAACAACCTCAACAACAAGCACTGCCTCTTCCAACTAGTAACTGGTACAAACCTGCAGTGAGAACAGTGGTGGCGGCAAATTTTCCAGAAATATTGGCCTATGAAGTGGCAGAAAGATGTTAATAAGGGACGTATAAAGCCCGACACATGCTATTTGCTCATCTGGAGGGTGGTGCTGTTTTTATTTCTCACCTGAAGCTGAGATTTGGATTAAACTCTGTGAATCACAGCTCACTGGCAAAACTGTTTACTCTAAGTTTAGCCAAACTTCAACTGTATTTGCTAAAAATCAATTTATTATGATATCCTATGACAAATAATGTGACAGAAAAATGGTAATTTAGATTTTCTTAGCTTAGCTGCTCACATTGCTGACAGCTAAATAAATCAGTCAGATTAAAAAGGACGGCTCACATTTGCACATAAAACCTCCTGTTTGAACAGAAATATTTACAGAATTTCATGTGTTCAAACCTTTTCATTCTCTGAGCTTTGCTAAAAGACCTTGTGTAATAGATTCTCATATCCTCAGCATCTAATGTTGCACTGACTAACTTCATTGTTTTGTAGCTGATATTTGCTCAGTGAGTTTGTTTCTTCAGAATGTACCTTTAAGATAAATAGTGATAAAATAAATATATTTATGAGATGTTATGAGGATTGTGGGCGGCAAGGTGGCGCAGTGGGTAGCGCTGTCGCCTCACAGCAAGAAGGGCCTGGGTTCGATTCCCGGCTGGGCGACCAGGGTCATTTCTGTGTGGAGTTTGCCTGTTCTCCCCGTGTCTGCGTGGGTTTCCTCCGGGTACTCCGGTTTCCTCCCACAGTCCAAAAACATGCAGTCAGGCTGATTGGACATGCTGAATTGCCCCTAGGTGTGAGTGAGTGTGTGAATGTGTATGTCTGTCTGTCTGCCCTGTGATGGACTGGCGACCTGTCCAGGGTGTATCCTGCCTTCCGCCCAATGACAGCTGGGATAGGCTCCAGCACCCCATCGCGACCCAGAAGGATAAGCGGTTTAGATGATGTATGTATGAGGATTGTTGATGTGTTGTTGGGCTACTCAACTGATTTTTTTGACATTGGACTGAGTGTAATGTGGCCCATTATGTAAAATGAGTTTGACATCCCTGACATAGAACCTTTAAAAGGTTCCTTCACATTCACACATCTCATTTCCAACAATGATCCTTAAAAGAATCATTCAAAAGCGGTTATTTTGTGGCATCACTCTAAAGAACCCATTGTGCCGCCTTTATTTTTAAGAGTGTAATCAGATCCGTCACCCATACCAATTTTTTTAGCTGGGCAGTTGGATCTTGATAAGTGGGCACTCACTTAATCATCCTTTTCCCCAGTGAGCCTAAAAGTCTCCTCAGAACAGATGAGGAGGGCATTTCAGTTACCCAGTGATAATGATGTGGACGCTTTTCAGCAACTATTCTCTCGTGTTCAAATGTTTGGAATCACTTGTCATACAAAGAATTGTTATTTTATTCATTAGTAACTTATTCAGTTCAAATATGTAGATACTGGATGTATTTTTCAATGTTTATTCAATATTTAATCATTTGTGAACATAAAAAAAAGGAAATTACATGAAATAATATACTATCTTTATTGATGGGCACTCTTGATAGGCATTCTAGTATAGAATTCATTCATTCTTTTTACAGCGTCCTACAAATGATGTGATCCTATAAAGTTATGAAGTAGAGCACTACCATCATATTAGAATTATGTCATACTTGTATCAGCAAAATGGTTGTATTAGTGAAAACAGTACAGTACCGTAATCTGTAGTAATCATGTGAGAATGTCAGTGTTTATTAATTGCCCAATCACAATTATGCAGATGCTTTTTTACTTATCCAATCATAATGTAGTAGGAGTTACACTATGTGGCCAAAAGTATGTGGATACCTGATCACAGCTAGATGAGTTTGTTAGACATCCTATTCCAAAATGGACATTCATTTGGAGCTGCCCCCCATCTCATTCCACTCTTCTGGGAAAGTTTTCCACAAGATTTTGGAGTGTGTCTGGGAAGTTGTGCCCATTTAGTCAAAGAGCATTTGTGAGGTCAGGGACTGATGTTGGACCACAAGGCCTGGCTTGCAATTGACGTTCCAATTCATCAAGGTGTTCAGTGGGGTTGAGGTCAGGGCTCTGTGCAGGCCACTGGATTTCCTCTACACCAAACTCATCAATCCATGTTTT